TCTTTAGCTAGAAACCAACCTACCACATAATGAAGCTTGGTTCTCTCCCCCCTGGGAAGAATCTGTTCAGCTTGCAGCATGAACAGCTAGGATGAAGGCACCTTTCAGCTGTAGGTGGGCCACCAGGTGCACCTCTTGAGAGAGGTGGGAAAAAGGCACCAGGCTGGGTGCGTGGGGATCTAGTGCAGAATCTGGCCTGGCATTTGACCGCCTTCCCTGGAGTTCTCCTGAGGGCCAAGCCTCTGATTTGCAGGATGAGGTATGGCACCAACTTACCAGGGCAGACTCTGGACAAATCCAGTTAGGCCATGAGGGCTGAAATGGGGTAGGAGAGTTTGTGGTTCTGTACCCAAGGCCACTGACCCACTCTGGAAGCAAGTTAACCATGGCCCTGTGTGTCACATGAATGTCCCAGGAATAAGGGGAACAGCAGCACATCTCAGACAGATTGGCACTTTGGCAGCATGGGGTTAAATATATATTTGAAGAGTATGACTTATTTTGAAGGAAATGCAGTTGGCCATTTCACCAAACAATATACATTTTTGGTGATCATAGTGTGCAACCACATTTTAGCCTAGTGAGGCACATGAACACAGAAAGCTGAGTTCAACCATGGTTTAGTCTCCTCAACATCTTAGGAGAGCCTTATATTATATCACTTAGGTGCCTGCTCAAGACCCAAGGCTTTCCTTTGGGAATGGGAGACAAATTTTAATTATTATTACACAGTTACGTAAGAAAGTTTAAGCACACCTGGTCAATTTGCATGCTTCAGTGAACAAAAGCTGACAGAAGCACCACATGGTACAAAGTTAAAGATGACGTCTTTCTGCAAATCAGAATACTGACTACGTGCAACTGTTTGCAGATTTAGAATAAGGTAGCGGTGAATATGGCTAGTGCAGAAGTTTGGACACGCTTTCAATTGATTCAGTGCTATTTGGGTTTATCATAAAGTTATTGAGGAGATCTAAAAAAGTAATTGGCTCATTAGGCTTACAGTTATCCAGGGGAAGTTCATTTCACAGACGAATAAATGCTCAGAGCGTTCTAAAGTCCCATGTTGTGATTATTGTTCTATTTTTAGCAATCACAGGCCCCTCTATGATAATTCAAAGGAGGAAGGTTATAAAAAAAATCTCTAAGCACTTCTAACAATTTCAGCTTTGAGAAGCATTAAAAAATGGAAGTGACCTGTTAAGAAATGGAACTACTGGATTCAAAGCAAGATCTGGAAGATCAAGAAAAATCCCTCCTAGAAAACTGGTCAAGTCTGTAAAACAGGAACCCACCAATCACCCTAACCCTAACCTGCTGAAAAGTTATTGAGCAACTGTCCACAGTTCAGTGTTGGTTATTCAACAATGATCTGAATAGGAGAATTGTCAGAAGACAAACTTTTCTGACCTCATCCCAAAAGTCATCATCTAAGGTAAGCAAAGGAAAACTGTGATGATCTTGAAATATTTAGAACAAAATGCTTTGGAGTGATGAAATAAAAATTGAGCTGTTCAGCCACAATAGCACACAAAATGCATTTGTAGAAAAAAATGTCCAGCTTTTGTAGAAAAAAACTTGCGGACCATGAAGTGGGGGGAGCTTTATTATGCTTTGGAGTATGAGGCAGCCAATGGCACAGGAAATAATGTGTGTGTGTGT